GGGGGGGGGTTATTAAGATGAGGAACGGAATTACCCTTTGTGAATCACAAGTATCACGGGTCCTAACTTGTAAAGTATATTTATGAGTTCAAAACGTAGGAGTAGTACTTAGTAGTATTACAAGTGCTAATATACTGCCTAGTGTATTTGCATCTCTTTATGTTAATCTGTTTTTTAATTACTGTTTGCAACTCTGCAACTTCAGTTATTATGTCTTATAGGCACGACCTATACTCTGGGAGTATAGTGCATCTGTGGTTGCAAGAGGCATAATGCATTCGAACAGAGCTAGAGCCTTTGCCCAAGTGCTAATATACTGCCTAGTGTATTTGCATCTCTTTATGTTAATCTGTTTTTTAATTACTGTTTGCAACTCTGCAACTTCAGTTATTATGTCTTATAGGCACGACCTATACTCTGGGAGTATAGTGCATCTGTGGTTGCAAGAGGCATAATGCATTCGAACAGAGCTAGAGCCTTTGCCCATAGCAAAGGAGGAATGGGCTTTCGACCCCTTCATAAGCCGCAGTGGTTTCTAATTAATAAAAAGGTAATTACTTTGTGGCTTGCTAAAATGTGCTTCTAAGTATTCAAATTCAGATGTGACTCTCGATACCCTTTAAAAATAGAACCAAATTGTGGAACACTACTTTGATCTGATGTGGAAAATATTTGTGATAAACCTCTGTTACTAAATCAGACGATTCTCAGTAAGGGTTGTTGTGTCTCATCATGCAAAAGAAAATATTCTGGAGGAGTCATCCCCAGAATATCATCTGGGGTAGTCCAACTGTACAAGCATCCAGGAGGTAATACAGTTCCAGGCTACCACATCAGCAACATCTGTTCTAACAGGTGCCCTACAGCATCCTCTGCAGTATTACAGGGGATCCTGAAATGCATCTCTTGGGTAGTGAAGGGTAGCTGCACAGAGTAAAAACTGACTTGGGCCAGCCTTTGGAGCTATTTATATGATTCCCCAAGAAAAATTGCAGTAAATTTTATTGGACTGGCAGCTGGATTAGAAAGAAATTAAAGATTTTAAACTCCTGAAATTGCATGGTGGATAGGTCACACCACTTCTCAATAGCTATTCTACAGAGCAGTCTTGCCAAAGAATTTAACAGGGTAATAGTTACAATTTATTAAAATCAGTTTTTTGAAGTATGGTAGGCTTAGATTAAAAAAAACACCTCTATGTTCAGTGATTATACTGATGTACAGAGGACAGGCAGAATTCCGTTTGTGTTGTTTATAAATGAATAAACTTTTTGGATACAATACTTGTTTGTTCCTTCTCCTTACTAGTATCAGGAAAACTGCATTGCTGCAAAATCCCTCTTCTCAAGTTTCTGCTTACCACCAACGTGTCTTCAGACCCAGCTATTACCTTATCTTGCCCTGCTTACAAATCCAATGAGAAACCAAGGTATGCTTAAAGCGTTAAATTTCTCTACAGAATATGATTGGAAATGAAATCAATAAAAGCGAAACTTGGTCAGGCAAATAAGAGCAAAGCATAAGTACCAACATTTTTAAAAACTCTGTTAATTCTGGCATGGTTTATACATAATGGCAAACTGTGGTCTCCTGCCACCTAAATGAGATTGGTGCTTCCTTGAGCTAGAACTCTCATCAAGTAAAAGAAAATACTCTTCCCTCCTTACTCTGTTTACACATGGTGTTTTTTTCAGCAAAAATTTACCGTTATGTCCAAGTTCCTAAACCATACTTTTCATGTTCCCTGCAAACAAGGAATATCCAAGGTGATTAATCTTGGTCTGCGGGCAAACTGCAGTCACACTATCATGGGGGCTGTTTCATGACATCTGTGATATCCACAGGCAATAGCCAGTATGTTGGAAACAATCATGTAGCTATGTTATTCACGTGATCTCAGTAGTAATGCTGATGCTAGCAAGAGAGAAAGAATGGCCAGAAAACTATTAAAAGTACTACCAAGAATACATACCATGGGGGGGGGTTATCACTATAAAATCCTTTGCACTTTGCAATCTAGAAATTGGGTGTGAATGCGGGAAACCCAGGTTAAAATCCTCAGCTGGCTTTGGCAAACTGTTGCCTCTCATGCTATATTACATGAGCACAAGGTAACATACTAATGTGGCAAATCTATCACAAAAACATGATTGCTTAAGCACTGAATCCTGTCTATCCTTTTTTGTGTTTAACATTAAACCCTTTGCATAAGGAGAAAAAAATTACTTGTTATCCTACTCTTTTATTATTGATAATATGCAATCAATATATTGTAACATATCTATTCATAGTAATTTACATTCAAAATACTTTACCTGTGTTTATACCTTTGCACAAACCAATAATGTGCATTATTAGGAGCACTTGTACCATCAGCACTTCTTACGAATAACCACACTACATTTTATGTAAAAGAAAATGAACTTTGTTTTGTGATTTCCAAGAAAGATGCTCTAAGACAACCCTATGATTTAAAAATGGAATACTACATCTTATATTCTTCGGTTCTAAGAAAACTAGTGGCTTATATATATTTGCATAGTTGTGCAGCATTTACCTTATACATCTAAATTTCCTAAATTAAATTGAAACAAAAAGTGTAGCAAAACCTCAACTCTAAGTGAAATAGATATAAAATTACACTTAAGCAGCACTTTTTGTTATCGTTTCTCAGGTCAGATTACTTTTATTCAGGATATTGGAAGGCTCCCTTTAAAGAAACACTTTGGAAGGTAAACATTAATATTGTTTTCTCAAAAAGTATTATAAAAGGAAAATACCTGTTATGCCTATTTTGCAAAACTGCATCTTTCTTTACTATCAGAATGTCATTTCTTAAAACTTAATGTAATCACTCTTGGATTAATGTTACTGTGTATTCTGCACAAATATAAGGTTCAACAAACAAGTGTAAAATCTTATGTAGCCAACCACACCCTTGAAAGCTCAAGGCAGCTGTCAACAGCATTTAGATATCCTAGTGTGTTAAATTGCAGATTAGCATAAAAATGTGGACTTTTCTTTTCCAGTCTTTCTGCAAAGTGTACAAGATATCATGTGTTCTTCTTCATACCTTCTAAGCTTTCTAGATGGACTGTACCATTCAACTTTTAGACAACTTAAGGTACATTGGTCCACACCTACATACCTATCTCTGACCATGTCGTTTACCTCCTGGGTAAGCTAGATCAGTCCACAGCAGTTCCAGTATGATTGCACATGCACATACACCTGGAACTGCTAAACCTTGATTCTCTTCTATATTGTCTGCAGAGAATTAGGTATATAGTATTTGTTTCCTTCTTTTTTTTGTGGTGGCCTACATACACTTAGAGAAGAAATACCTGCCCTTTCCCTCCAATTTTAAAAGCAGTGTTCTACTATGTTGTCATAATTGGGGTGAAAAGGCTGACTATTTCTCAGCACACATCCACAGCACCAAATTTTATCTTTTTTTTTTTTTTTTAATCACAGCCATAGAATGTTTCCTACACCTATGGTAGTACAAGTTCAGAATAGTAATTGATGGGGAATTAAGTTTTTGCATGTTGTAAATCTTAGTATGGAGGAATAATTGATATACCTGAATAGTGTATCTTCTGGTTGCTTTAGAGATTCTGAGTTTGTACGCAAGAGATAAGTGTATTGCTATTGTTGTTTCATAGGTTGAAGCTTTAAACTCTTACTGATAAAGATTCTGCCATTCAACTCTCGGACAGCGATGATGAAAGTGATTTTGCTGGGATGCATTCCACAAATACGATGATCCAACTGGAGAAAAACAATGCTAGTGGAAAGCATGAGTCAGATCTTTCTGCCAGTCAGGCTTTTGGAAATGAACTGTCATGCAGCCAACCTCAGCCTGTGACAGCACAAGCAATCATGGAGGAACATGAACTCAACATAGAGGAATATGATAGTGACTGAACTCTGGAACATGGCAATACCAATGCTGTTTGTTATTATAATTTTAGTCGAATATTTTATTTTGTAAGAATTCTTATCCAGAAAAGACTGTGAAAGTTCTTGATGAGACATTTGCCATGTCTTCACATTTATTCTTTATATGGTTACAACACTGCATCTATCAGGATGTTGCACCTCTGTAATTTTGAGTCTACTATAGAAAGCCCTAATTATATCAAATGTAATCCAAGATTTTGTTCTCCAGCCACATGGGTATGTATATTTAGGCACTGGATTTCTGTCTAACAGATGCTTGTGGAATATTGTCAGTAGTTCTGTTAAGATTTCATACACTTAGCCCTAATGTGAGGTGACAGAATTTAAATTCTGGATTGTGTACTATTTAAGATGTAAATAAACACCTAGGTGTTCAATTTGTTAATAGTACGTTATACAATTATAGAGGTTTATAAACAAACATGTACAGTATTTTACATAATTGGTCTTTTGAAATATTTTGCTTAATTTATGCAGGAGAATTAAAGTCTTTCAACAATATCTAATTGCTTGCAAACACTGAATGAAAATATAAGTACTTCTAACAGATCAGTTATACACAAATCTAAAGGTTTAACTCCAATTTAGTGGCTAGATGATTAACATGAAAATAGGTAATTAATATTGTAAACATGTGCATTATACTCTTGCTGTAAGAGATAATCATGTTACTAAAACAAAATTTGCCCTAACAGGATTCTTAAGGGTTCAGTATTCCTGTCAGAAGCAATGTGGGCTTAGGAAGGCCAATGATTTTTCTGGGAACATGTGATTAAAGGAATAGTTTAAGCTTTTAATAAGCACACACACATATGCCCCATGCTGGACTGGGAGGTCAAAACAGCCTTTTAGGCCACACCCCCTTGCTCTCTGCACTAGCAATGGAATGTGTTCTCTTGGATTCTGGGCTATATTAAATACTGCATGGACAATGTTGCTGTGGATAGGTGCATACGGGTCTATCCTAATCAAAAACCCTGGATGACGAGAGAGGTACAGTGACTTTTGAAGGAGAGGAATATGGCCTTTAGGTCTGGAGATATGAACCTTTATAGCACTACTAGACCCAACCTGAAAAGAGGTATTCGACAGGCTAAGCTGGGCTATAAGCAGAGGATTGAGGATAATTTTAATATGAATGACATGCAGCAGGTGTGGCAGGGGATTCAGAATATAACTAATTATAGACCAACTTTTGCTGCCATGGATGGAGACCTTGCATTGGCGGAGGAGCTTAATCTCTTCTTTGCCCGTTTTGATGTGGAGCCAAAGGGGACAGCCATACTACAGCCATCTGTCCATGGCAGCCCCTCCCTCAGGGTAGAAGAGCATGAGGTGAGGCGTACGCTGAGGTCTGTGAATCCAAGGAAAGTGGCTGGACCTGATGGCATCACTGGATGGGTGTTGAAAGGGTGTGCTGACCAGTTCGCAGGGGTCTTTACTAAGATCTTCAACCGGTCCTTACACCAGTCTATTGTTCCGTCTTGCCTAAAGTCCTCAATCATTGTTCCCCTGCCCAAAAAATCCAAAATCAGTAGTCTAAAGGATTATAGACCAGTTGCACTCACTCCGGTTGTGATGAAGTGTTTTGAGAAATTGGTACGTAGTCACATTGTTTCATGTCTTCCATCTACACTGGATAGTCACCAGTTTGCATATAAGGCAAATAGATTCACGGA